CCTTAAAAAAAAAAAAAAAAAAAAAAAAGACAAAGCAATGTTAAAAGTTATATACAGTAATTCGTAAAAGATACCAACTTACGAGACTGCAGTTTAAATTTTCTATTATAGGTAATTGTTAGTAATTTTTCGATGTTTTATTCCCATACGCAGACGCGGTCAAAAATGCCAAAGAAAAGGCGAAATGTACTCAGCATTGATGAGGTTAAAAAACCTATTATTATTTTCAATTTCGTCTTTTTCATGTAAAGAAGGATGATGAAGTGGAGGTGAGGTGGAAGGATAGGCAGAGACGGAAGGGAGTGAGTAAAATAGAATGAGAGATGAGCGACTGATTTACATCCAAAATCTTTGCCTACTTAGAAAGTTAGTTTTTAAGCGAAATAAACATAATGAAACTTGAGACTGCACCAAGTTACCATCCTAACGGTCGTCAGTGAAGGTTTTTGAATTCCACCGGTTAGCCTGTCATCGCTTGATATGCATCTGATATGGTTCGGTGATTTTTTGTAAAACTACACTTTAAATGCTTTTTAAACTTGTGAGAGTAGCATTGTGGAAGATCGGTGAAACTAAGGAAGGAAAATGACTTGAAATAGCCAGAGATGCTTAAACAGATTACTGAAACATGTAGGCAAGGAGATGGGGGAGGGAGGAGGTGGGAAGGGGAAGAGCAAAAAACTAGCTTGTGGTATGAATGCGGAAATTTACTTCTATGGTTGTTCATAGTTTAGAAAAAAGCTTCTTTTCTAACTTTTAGTCTGAATTCTGTTTGTTCACTCTGTTGAGTAGAATAATTATAAGCTTCATGCAAGAAACTTTAGGTTAAACGTCAACCGTCAATGCACGTAGTAAAGAATCAGACAAGTGCAAGAGAGCGACAGTATTTGATCGCGGCAAAAACCAATGGACCATCCCACCCCTAAACGTTGGTTTTCAAACCTGAGGACATTATTATAGTGTTGCTGTACAGCAGTTTATCGCAAAACTTCTTTGTGTTTGATCTCCAGAAATGTCTAACAAAAAAACACGGAAAAATCCTTTACTGCTGATTGTGCATGTGTTCAGCTGTTCATAAATTTGAACTTAACAATAGGATAACGCTTGTCTTTGTCAACCAACTTTAAGATCTCACTTTCTGCACGGCAAATTTTGCTTTGCCTGCAACTTGCAGAACCATGCGACCGTCATCTCTGATCACATCTCCCCAAACTTTGATGACCATAATTTATCCTTTCAGTACTGAGATCATACTGTTTGATCTAGTGAACTTTAGAACAGAAGTACTCCAAATTCAGGACATTATCCCGACTAGAATAGGTTAATTTGCAAATTACCCCTTCAACATTAACTACGGTTAAAAGAAACTGCTACCTCATTAATTTCCTGACTGCGATAGTCAGCATTAGTCATAAAAACAGGCATATATTTTTCGAACCAGGTCTTATGCTTCTGCAGAAGTACCTGTGGTTACTTGAGGGGCATTTGATAAAACGTGTTTTCCTGTATCAAAATTGTTGTTGTTAAATTATTGCAAAGATATGTTTATAAACGTTTATTCATATAGTATTTATGGTTCTTCTTCTATCACAACACAAGTAATATACCAAAAGTTCATGATTTTAATCATCAAAAATAATACAGAAGGTACAAAGCAACGGAGAAATGATATTACTGTGGGAAAGGTAAGTCCAACAGTCTAGATTACTGGGAAGGAGAAAATACACATTCTATACACTTTACAACAGTTCTAAAACTTTCAAAAATTATAAGAAAATGGTTCTAGAGGTCATTCGGCAACTTCATTTGCTTTTTAAAAAGCTGAATAAATCATCTTGCAAATTATATAAATTTAGAGAAGATATTAGTTTTAACTTAACAATACGCAATTTTCAACCTTGGCGCACTCACATTTAGGATATTTAAATAAGAAATACTTCAAGGAACTTCAGTCAAATAAAATTCGTTTGTTTTCAACAGTTTGTAAGTGTAATATGCCTTCTTGTTAGACAGTAAGAAACCACAACTGTTTCCATTCAAAAACAAGGTTACCGACAGAGAGACAAACTGTTCACAGATTTTATAAATTGCTGCCCATTCATGAGATGTTTAGGCTGGTGATGCTTAAGTCAGTTAATGTAACAGGTTGTTTAAAATATGTTTTGCCATTTGAAGGAATGAAATTGGAGCGTCTCGGTTTGACTAAATAATCGTTACTTAGAAGAAATTCTACTTGTAATAAACGTTTGTGTTAGATTACAACTGTTAGCTTGAACATACTATGAAAATTACGGTGCGGAATTGCTTGCTGCAACAAAAATCTTGGAAATACAAAGTCAAAGTCTCCAAGGTATTGAATAATAAACTCTGAAGCAACTGTAAAAACCATAATATTTAATAAGTAACCCCTACCTGATGACCAGAGTACAAAACCGTATACAGATGAAGGTTCTGAAAAGATTTGTAGAACAAAGCACGATTGTTTTTGGTGCCATACAGTAAGCGCCGGTGAGCAGTTTTGAAATGCCCTTTGTGCTTCCATTGCAGCTTGTTAATCCACATTTCAATCCCTAGAAATTAAACCTTTTCTCAGTAAATTCGAAAACCACTAAACTCGACTAACAGTACTGAATGAATCTAAACAGATGGGAGCTGTTTTAAACCAATGAGTTATAAGGTAGAATACAAAAACGAACAGCCACCATTACCTGGTAAGTTAACAATCATATCCAATTGGCCATGATGAAGTACAACTTGCAAACCATTCTCCAACAGGAAGTCCACTATAATAATGAAATTAATGTTAGTTTAGGACAAGGACCACCAAGATGGTTTTATAAGCCGCTTTGATTTTTGCGGACAAATTTGAATTGCAAAGTTTTTTGGTGTCCCGTTATTAACTGAATAGAATAAGTTTAGAGTGCGGCAAAAAAAAACTTTTCCAAACTTAATACTGCTCTCGTATACTTCACTCCGAAGCCTCACAACTAAGACTACGTGAAAGACATATGAAAATGTTGAAGGAATTTTATAGTACACTACAGAAATGCTGAAATACATTCGTACACTCAGAACTTTATCTTCTAATCTTCTATGCTTCCAAAAAGCGGTGTTATTTATTGTCCTTATTCAGGATTCATTTCAATTATGAACAGCAGAAAAAGGAAATGCTATTCTGGATTTCGCTAACCTGTCGATAGCGCTGATTTCATAAAGTCATTCCGATGAAATTTTTTTACCATCTCTTCTTGCACTGTAAAGTAATTGATTAAAGACAGCACCAAACATCACTACTAGCAAGGAATCCTTGACATAGACCAGAAAAAAAAATTGAACCAATTCTTCGTTATCCTGTCCACATTTCGTCTAACTGTTATTTCCTTTCAATTTTCGTAAGAAAAACAGTTCTCAATTTTCGTAACAAATTTTATAAAAACTACATGAGTCAACGAATACTCAATGTCTACAAAAAATCGGGAATTTTTTTGGAATTGAATCTCACCTCTGTTGAAGCAATTATGGTAATTTGGATAGGAATTAATTCTAAAACGTCAAAAATCATACAGCATCTGAATAGGCTGCGGAAGCAGCCAGAAAACGCCTTAATAGCAGAATTGCTTACAGTTCCGCGACGCATTTTCACACTAACGCATTGCTGTAAAGATGAAATACAAAAAAAATTCCGTTTTTGAACTACCATCTAATTCAAAACTTATCTACGAAACAATTAACCCCCCTACTTACTATGGACATCTACACGAAAAAACTAGCCAATTTACTAAAATGAGTATTACTTTGTGCTATGCCTGCCATACATCAGCAAACAATTTCCACAATTCTGCAAAACCAATAATTAGGGTAGGGCTATTTAATTTTCACTGAAATTGGAGCAGGAAGAAAAACAAAATTATTGAAATATATATGTGTAAGCCTCCGAATAAAGCTAAAAAAAGTGTGGCTCACTTCCAAAAGTCACATTATGGGGGATTATTGTAAACTTCTTTCTCAACTCCGTGTTCATAAAGCTTAGGTAATGTCGTTTGTCTGGTCTTTCTGAGTGTGGAAGCAGCTCTAAACATCTGTTAACCGCAAAGTAAGAATATTTATAACAGATTTTAGGGTAAAAAAGTTGCGCGTTGTTACTCCTTCCAAATGTCATTTGCAGGGAATTGATTACCTGATAAATAGCACGAACCGTTGATAATTACAGGCTCGCTGGTCTTCATGACATTAAACGGGTTGTGAAAACCACTGAGCTGCAATCTAAGCTATTTATGTTTTTTTTTTCGGAAATGAGCTTAATTAATACATTTCTGCAAAAACAATCCAATATTGTAAAAGTTCTCAAGTAGAACTTTAAAAATACTACAGAAAGAGTACAACGATACGCTTCTGTATCAAAACTATGCCTAGCAATTTACCTTTAACTTCTTGCTCTTCTACTTGAAAACGCAGAGGTACAATCAACACGTTTGCGGGAAATAATGCCTCTACAGAAAAGGGTCACGATATACAGTTAATTTACCTGCCATGCGAGACTCCTAAATTCATTATGACAGTCAAGCGCTGTATCCCATCTCTTCAGGGTTATTAAGTCTTTGCATTCTGAAATTTTGTTGTTCAACGCTTCTAAGTCGATCTCATCAACCAACGACTAAAACAAGTAAATCTTATTTATGACATTAAAAAAAAAAAAGAAGTAAAAGTTTGAAAACTGAAGCTAATCTTCCAATACGTTTGCAAAAAAATTGCTTATAGATCAAAAGAAAAGCTTGCCGAATACAATAGTCGCTCAAGTTTTCGTTTTACTGTATAAATTCAGTCTTCATAGTCAAAAATAACGCTCTCATACAGATATAATATAATATCATTGATTCTTCTTCGCTAGATTTTCAATACTGTGGAAAAATGGTAGGTTCTAACCATTGTGTGCAGGTAAGCGCCCCAATAAGTCATCAAGCTAGATGGATCAACAAGACTTGATCCTAAGCCAATCCCTTTTAGGTTGACTGGAAACTTCTGTTTTCGCTAAAATCATGCATTTAGTTAGCTGCTGTTTACAAGGGGGCGGAGAGTTTAATCAAACGTGCTGGTTATCTAATGTACAGAATAAAACTTCGATACCTGTAACAATATTTTTGCAAATTCTGCTACAAATTTACCAGCATAAGAACCTCCAAATAAGTAAAAAATTCGTTTTTTATAATGCGGATAATCGTCAAAAAATTGAGAGTACCAATTAAACAGGTCTGAAATTCAATAATCGTAAAAATTCAACTTTAAAGCACTCGCCAATTACCAGTTTCTTTCTTTCGTTTTAAATTGTTTTTGACTTCCAACTAACAGTTTTTAAAATTCTCTCATACTACTCCATAATTGTTAAATCAGGTAATTGTATTTAAGTTTTTCCTTTGTTATGACGCACCTTAACACTTTAAATTAATTGAGAAGGTTGTGGTAACTGCTAGTTCGTTTTAAGTAAGTCAAACAAGTAATCATCTTTCAGAGAGAATAAAAAGCTTCAGGATACATAAAACTGAATACTGAATCAAACAAATACCTTCTGCAACCTCTTGAACGTTGCTGGTAAAACAGGAAGAGTTTGTGACATAGCTGTATCCGGTTCCAACAGGGCTGTCCACAAACACCAAGTCGGCTACTTGTAGCTGGAACTCTTACGACCGTTAAGTAAACAAAAGAAAATTTCTTTTTTAATCTTTCTTTCTTATCACTAATAGCCAACAAGTGGTTGTGAACTTTTAAAAATAACAGTCCTAATCTGATTACCCATGTGTAAGGATGATCACTACCGTCCAAAGCTTTAGGGCCGATTCCTTCCAAGTTTCCAGTGCCAGTACTGGAGGAGCCTGGACCGCCCTATAAACTACAGCTAAAACTGAGCAGAAAAATTTTCATTGTGTGCTTTATCGAAATTTAATAATAAAAACGTTAAAAATTTTGATTCACTGTATGCCAGAGTAGCAATGGACGTTCTTCAGTGGCGTTCACCGAAAATAACCACCAAAACATGTAAGCAGACGGTCTAATTTGATAATAGCCCCAATCTTCATTGTAGTTTAGCGGACCATTGACTGTTTCAACAAGACCTGAGTCTCTCCTGCTACAGGTAATGATTGTTAAAGCAGAAAAAGCAAATAAACACTTCATCCTATAAAATACAAAGATTAGAGAAATAAATTTATCTTTATAAAGTGTAAGTAGAAAAATAAAATTTGCAATTAATTTTTAATAATCCAATAATGAAAAAACAGTTAAGAGTAATGGTTTTAAAACTATTTTGAAGCACTTACTTTTTCTCTTTGCTATTGCAAAACGTATAAGAAGGAAAATAACAAAAAGAAATGGCAATCCTAGCTCAAAATAAAAAAATAAGCTAATGAAATAACCTGCAGTATTCATTGTCCAACACAGTTAGTTAATACACTGCAAAAGTACTAAATCGACGCCATTGTGAAATAAACAACGTTTTACTCTTTTAGCACCTTTTCTCAAATCATATCTCACCCATTTAACACTTCATTTTACGTTTAGTCCCATCTAATTATTTATTTGAATTGCCCGGCACCTGTTATCCATTTAACATTAAATACGAACTAGCAGGAGGGTAGTCACTGAGTCATTCAAATTACTATCCTTTCAGATATGCAGACTTCTAGCCGTCTTTTGGAGTTCTTTTGGAGTTCTAGTAAAGTAAAAGAAAATAAATATATTTTTAGCGGCACATAAATTTAGCTTTTTTTAACTGAAGGCTCAACATTCTAAAGGCTGAATTAAAATTACAGTTGAAAAAATAGTTGATGATTTTTCGTTTTTGAATTTTATAAAATAACTGATTGAGTCATCTATAAAATGGTTCATTGTATTTTTGAAGATATCTCCAGAGAAGTTTTACTGCAAAAGTATTTCTAATTTTTGACAAAACGTTTCAGAGAACTTCCAAGAGAGTTCCTTTGGATACTGCAATTGCCAAGAAGACATTACCTTTCTTATAAATTTTTTAAAATCTTTTCCGATGTGCACTGTAAATAAGGATAAATACACATAAAAGTTTGAATAAGATTTATTACTCTGCAAAATTTCTTCTCTTCTCCTTTTAGAAAGCTTTTTTGGCAAGTATCCTTTAGGAGCGGGAATGAGGATGAAAAGGTGTGGGAACGAGAGAATATAAATTTGTTTTGATTATTTGCTTTAAGTTATAATTTTAAAATTATTTTAAAATAATCAGTAATGAGTAATTAAACAAACGCATGCAATCATTTTTTGCTTTACTGCTTACTGATTAAGGCTACCGTGGTATGAGAAAGTGAGGATAATATACAGAAAGTCCAACTTTATGAAGCCGAAGTTAAACCAAGCAAAAATCCCCATTTGACATGAGATGACCTCCCAGAATCCAAATTTACTCCTCAAAGTTGTAGGTTCTTAAAAAAACACTCTTAGTTTCTAGTCTTTTCCAAAATTTATTTTTTACCTCTCACTTTTTTTCTACATCAGTGCTTTTCAGCTCTTTTATTACTTTTTGTTCCTCTCAGAGAAAGAATTTCGTTAACGCTTTTTTAACCGATTGATTCTCCTTCCTTCTCTCCTCTCACGTGGGCTTATTTTACTACCCACAGTTTTATTGAGCGAAAGCCAAGCGAAAACAGTTTACACAGCAGCTACATCCTACGCTCCTCAGTCACAGCTCAAATCCTCCATCATTCTTCTGACATCTTTCATTGTCCGAACGTCTTGTTCGTG